AGCAGCCTATTGACACCTGCTGTTCCATAAGCGCCACCTGCTGTCAGAGAGTGACATTTGCATCTCATTCACAAAGCTAAAATCAGACCATTCTGTTTTTGCTTCAAATTTTGAAATTATACAATCCAAATAACATCTATTTAGCATCTTTTTTGGATAGTAATTCAAATGCAGTGGATGCCTCTGATTTTAAATAGAGCACAGGCAAAGCCTTTGTTTAAATGAAGAGATTTAGTTGTATAATTTTTTTATTTGATTTGGGATTTGTTTTACAATTTCAAGTTAGTTTTATTATTTAACATTTCAATTTCACAAAGAAATATGCAGCATTTTGTCTGAGAAAAAATCTCATTTTATAAAAAATAAATATATAAATAAATTGTAAGAAAATTTTATAGTGTAATATGTATCGTGAATTTTATCGCATTGTAAGTTTAGTGAATCGATACATCCCTATATGCTACTAGTTTTTGCTGATCATGCTGATTTGTCCACAATAAAGTTCAGCCGATGTCTTTTTTTTTATTCGGGCTAGTTAAATTCATTTTGGGCTACCAAAACCTGAAGAATGCCTGCCCGAAGGGCTACCAGGGATTTTGAAATTTTGCGAGCCCTGTTAATATAATTTAATCCTATGCCATATTCTCCTTGAATAATATAAAAACGATAGAACATTTGGATTACATGAGAGCATTAAGAGTTGTAGACAAGTTTTCTAATGCATGGATTAGTGTGCTTTAGTCAGTGTTGTGACCACATTATTAGAAATGGACAAATATAAATTATTTAAAAAGTATTAATTTGAAACTCTGCAAATTCATTTTTATGTCTATTTGTTATCTATACATTTTTAACATCTTTATTCCTTTTTTACGGAGGCCTTCACATTAAATATAAGCGTAAAAGTCTCATGAATTAGGAAATAAATGAGCACATTTTATTAATTTGTTTCTTTTTGTTAGAATGTAAGCATGTTTTACTAATTCTTTCCCATCTATGATTTGGGGAGAACTGGGAAAGTCCATTTCTCTTTTTCTTTGCAAGCCCTGAAAAAATGTTTGCAACCGTTTGTAGTCTAGATCAGTGTTTCCCAACCTTTTTTTAGTCGCGGCACCCTTTGGAAATTTTAACAAACTTGTGGCACCCTACAAAATTAATTTTGTCACAATATTTGAATTTCTAACTTCGATATGATAATTTGAAAAGTATAGATATTCGGTACAACAGGGAAGAACTGCAGAATATAATGTCATACAGATATTTTTAATATTATTAAAAAAATGTGTCCAATCAGTAGGCTCATTTCTAATGAAGAGATCAATTTCTATGACAGATTTTAATGTAGGCTTTTATACATGTGTAAACATTATTTAATTACCATTATAACTAGCTATCTCACAAATTTTTGCTCACTCAGTGTTTTTTTAATTTTACAGTGGGGTAATTTTTGTGCAGTAGCACGAGATTGCTTGATTTCAAACTTTGAATTGAATAAAAAATGACAAGTAAGCAGTCAGTAATAAAATAAGAACAAATAAAGAAGTTAATAATGATAGCACAAATACGACAGGCCTTCGAATTAAATAAATTGCTTTTTAGTTTTTCAGGTAGGTCTAACAGTAGGGTTAAGATATTTAAAAAAATTTTTTTTTTTTTTAGCAATTATGCAAATAATGTTTAGTCCTAGACAGCTATTATTATCAGAACACGTGAGCATAACATAGCGGTTAGCAGATCAATGAATGAGAGGGCAGCGTTACCAGAGTTGCCCATATACCACACCATGTTACAACACAGTAGGGCTATTGCAGACGGAAACAATACTGTACTACAGAGATGTTTCCTGTCGCCTTGATTTCTGAGTGGACTTTGCTGTTCCGATGAGCATGAACGGTATACGAGTGGAGCGACTGAGCGGAGCGCACACGCATAGAAGCGGGATAAAACGCAGAGCGTCACACCACGTTAAAGTGAAACCTGAGCGGTGAACTAATTTTCGGCAGCCGAAATTTCGGTGCATCTCTAATTATTGGCGACATCAGAAATGGATATTATATAATAGATGCTTTTCTGAACATTTTAGCAATTTAAAAATATTTTTTTAAACCGCGGCACCCCGGTTGGGAAACACTGATCTAGATGATCTGGATTCAGTGAACCGTTGGATTTTTATTTATAGGCAGTTTAGTCCATCTGGTGAGGAGATGAAAGTTTATTTAATCTTTAAAGTGCATGCTGATGTTTTCTGCACTACAGTTTAGCTCCATGCACCTTACTGGCTTCCAGGCCTCTTTCTGTGGATCTATAATACATCCTCAGGATTCATCTACAAGATGTAATCGAGCATAGAGGACAGTGCTTCTCTTTTGAGCGATTCTATTAGTTCTTGAAGTCTTTTGGCTTGTATCAATTTTGGCCATATCGTCCAGCCCTATTTAAACACAAAGCTTAAAATCCCACAGAAGATGAAAGTCCTGGACCTACAGAAAACAAGGTCGTCTAAAACCGTTCTAAGAGTTCAAACTAATTCTTTCTTTTAGAGTTTGGTTGGGAAGAGAGATGGTGGCGATCCACTCCCTTACGAAAAAGAAGTTTATTCAAGTGTGCTATTAGTATGATCTGGATTCAGTGAACCGTTGGATTTTTATTTATAGGCAGTTTAGTCCATCTGGTGAGGAGATGAAAGTTTATTTAATCTTTAAAGTGCATGCTGATGTTTTCTGCACTACAGTTTAGCTCCATGCACCTTACTGGCTTCCAGGCCTCTTTCTGTGGATCTATAATACATCCTCAGGATTCATCTACAAGATGTAATCGAGCATAGAGGACAGTGCTTCTCTTTTGAGCGATTCTATTAGTTCTTGAAGTCTTTTGGCTTGTAAATATTTTCCTCGTTCTTCAGAGATGATTGTAGACTGTCAGCGTTGTCTTTTATACTGTTATGTTGTTATGGAGATGGAGATGGTTGGCTAGTGAACGAGACGCGGTGATTGATATGGGATCAGTGTGTCTTTTTGTTGGGTGTGGAGGAGAAAAACTGAGTCAGTGTGTTTCTGTCTGTAGATAAATGCTCACGACAATGACATACGTGGACCGAGTCCGAGAGAAGATCGGAGAGATGTTTTGAGAAATCGATAGTCGCATTCATTGTTTTGTCCTGATAAAATAAGAAAGAAGATTACAAACTATATCACTTAAGTTTTTCTTTTTCAGAAATAAACTTCAGCCCATAATCCTTTCAAACTTTCTGTGTCATCTAACAAAAAATAAACCTAACATCAGTGATGGAGAGACGCCACTGGTCCAGCCCACATTCATTCAAGCCCCAGGCCAGTTTGATTGGTTAATTATTCACGCCACAAACTCGATGAAAAAGTGAAGCCAGTCGAGAGCGACACACTCCTCAATCACTTCTCATGTCAGCTTTTTATGCTGCTTGTCAGAGTGGTGAGACTGGTTGCTAGAATTAGTGTCTTTTAGTGTTGTCAAAAATATGATTTTTCGATACATAATGATACTGAAATGTTTGAGACCGTTTCAGTACTCATTTTTCACAGTTTTGATATGCCATCTGGGCTCTCATAGTCTCTCTTCTTTCTGACAGCAAGTTGACACACACACACACACACACACACACCGTTGTGTATGTATTGTAATTATATAAGTATATAGTCCATTGTACTGCGTGTTTTTAGAGTGAAGCGTGTCATTGGATTCTTGTGATCCAGTGTTTTCAGCTGCTCAGAGTGGCTCGGTTCACACAAAATAAAAGTATCTCTATGAGACTGATTTAACATTGGTTACTATGGCAGCAGGTTTACAGTTATTTAGTATGAATTTTATAATAATTTTATAAAACCTTTTAAAAGTTTTAGCAATGTTGTTGTGTGTTTTTGTCACTTTTATTAGGCTTTTGTGTGTGTATGTGTGTCCATATAGCTTTTATTAAATATTATTTCAGTTTTTGTTATTTTAGTACTTCAATGTAAACACACACACACACACACAAAAAAGGAGAAATCTTTCCTGGGCAACTATATGAAAAAAATGTTTCAAGGTTTTTTGTTTGTTTGTTTGTTTGTTTTTATATTTTGATTTATATTGTTTATTTATTATTATTTTTTTTTTAGGTTTAGTTAATTATAGTAACAATGATAGAAACTTGAGCTTCCCTGCAATTTTCCACCAACAGGGTTTTGAGAGATTAACTCTTTCAACTGAAGAAATGAAGTCATATTTATTGTAATTTTTACTACTCTAAAGTAAAATAATATAGTTATTAAATATAAATTTTTTACAGTGCAGTTATATTACAATAGTACTATATTTCTGTTTAATAATAATAATAATAATAATGCGATTATTATTATCATTACTATTATTATAGTTTGAATTATATACTGTTAAAATTTTACCCCATGGTATTGAATATCAATATTTTTCAAGGCATTGTATCAAAGTTAGAAATTCCAGTTTCTTGACATCTCTGGGCTTTGACTGTCCCTCGCGAGCGCTCCTAAACAAAAATACAAGTGCAGAGCCCTGCGTAGTATGCTGGGTGCATGTGATATGTCTCCTGGTTATTATGAATTGGATTCTTCTTCTGCAGTCCACTTCCTGTGTTGTTTGTTTGCAGCTGTTAGAGGAAAAGCAGGTCTAGAGTATCAGACTCCGGTTACAGTGTGAATGTGGAATAAAGAGCGAGGCTTACTCACACATACAAACACTTCTCAGCGTTTCACTTCCAACTGCTCCTATTTTTGGCCCGTGTGCTCGAGCCTCCCGATGAATGCTTGGCCTCTTGCTTTCATCCAGACCAGAACACAGCCCTCCAGTTTGGCAAGAGCGGCTTTCACACACACAAACACATCTGAGCTCAATCGCATTGCCGTGTTTGCAGCCAAATTAGAGGCCAGTTTTAGCTCGGTTGCTTTTCATCCCTCCCTTTCCCAGTGTTTGTCAATGTGATTCCTAACCTTGTCATATTTCTCTTTACGCAGATGTGAAGAAGGACTGGTCAGATCACGCGCTGTGGTGGGAGAAGAAGAAGACCTGGCTGCTAAAGACGCACTGGACGCTGGATAAATACGGCATTCAGGCCGACGCCAGGCTGCTCTTCACGCCGCAGCACAAGCTGTTGCGCCTGCAGCTGCCCAACATGAAGCACATGAGGGTGAAGGTCAACTTCTCTGACCGCGTCTTCAAGGCCGTGTCCGACATCTGCAAAACCTTCAGTGAGTGCTGCTGCCTTCCCTAAAATATTACTCAATTTTTTCATAACTCCATTAGCCTAAATCAATCTCCCCACTGGTCGTGAAGAACAGTAAGTCAGGATAATTGTGTTATTTTGCTATACATTAGAGTGCATTCACCCTTCAGTGCTGAGAACAGATGTAGGCTTTGGTAGAGAGATGGCGCTAAATCAGAATACAGCGACCGTTTAAAGGCCCCCTTAAAATGGACTGACAAACACAATTGTTTTCATGTGCTGATGTATTTCATATTGACCAGTCCAAGGGCACATGCTTTTTAAAAAGCCAATAGCCTTTAGTTTTGTCACACCCCAGCTAATGTTAGCCTACTAAAAACTATAATAATAAAAAAAAATATTGTGAAACAATGCATTATGCAATGATAAACATTTAAAGCACTAGTGTGCCATGTTGTAGTCACTAGTGGTCATTTCATATGGGTTTTTAATAGTTGATGTGGATCATCTTAGAGACGGATGATTGATATAATGTCAATATATATGATTTCAGTCAGTTTAATGCTAATAAAAACAACATTTATTTAAATCACTTTAAATTATTTTGAAAGTTAAACATTTTGGTAAAACATTTTTTTTTACTTTATTTATTTATTTAATATATATATTAGGGATGTTAACGATTCACTCAACTCACGATTCGATTCGATTCACGATTTTGATTTTACAATTTGATTTTTTTAAATAAAATGAGATTTAAGACAAATTATAAATTAAATGTGTCCTTTTATTATTGCTTGGACAAAATACTGTACGTTTCTTTGTGAAATTGAAATATAACACTATAATAATATACTAATATAGCACTTGTAAATTATTGCTCTTTTGTTGGTTTTGATTGCTTCTGTTGTCCTCATTTGTTAGTTGCTTTGGATAAAAGTGTTTGCTAAATAACTAAATTTAAATATAATGTAAATGTAAATAACAAAACTAAATTGAAATTTTAAAACATTGCGTTAGTAGCGAAAAAGGTCGTGGGTTCGATTCCCAGTCCCCTCAGACATACATTCATATAAACTCCTACCCCTAATTGAATCATGATTTGTTTAGCATCTCAACCGATTTGAATCGTCACATATTTGAATCGATTTTCAATCGGCTCACGGTTAATCGTTACATCCCTAATATATATATATATATACATATAAACACACACACACACACACACACACACACACACACACAGGGTTCATACGGTCACGAAAAACCTGGAAAAGTCATGGAAATTTAAAACGGCAATTTCCAGGCCTGGAAAAGTTTTGGAAATGTATTTCTCAAATCTCTGTATAATAGAATTATGTTTAATCAGGTCCTGAATTTCAGTGTGGGATTGCGCATATATTGCATACTTTGCATAGTTTTACTCATTCCCGCAGCTTTCAAGTTTGAAATGAGGGGAATTCCTGCACACATTTATTCAATACAGCATGTAGGTTAGATGAGTAAATAAATCCACACGGACTGTCAGATTAAATCAGTCTTTCACTCAAAGTGGCTTCACATGTCGTCTGCACTACAAGAGACTTTCACTCGCGTTTCGGGACAGTTGACAGAACTGTCACTTACCTAATCAGGTCATTGTTGCATCGTCACAAAAGTGTATCATTTGCACATTTTTTTTAAAGTCTTTTTAAGCCATTCAGTACTCGCATGCTCCAAAGGCAGTTTTCTGTGAACTCACAGTCACATCCAAAGCGCACGCATATAAAGCCGCTTCGAGTATCATATCGAGTTATTTTTCGCAGCTTGTTGCGCTTATATATACACAAATGTTTTTTTTTTCATAATTGTGACATATCCAAGTGAAGCAGCTTCTTGAATGAGAAAAACAAATTTATAATTTGCTTTTTGAAGATATATGCATTCAAAATGTACAGTCTCTCTACTAGGGCTGTGCGATTAATCGAAATCGAATCGCAATCGCGATTTGAGACGTTGCGGTTTGCTACTCGCAAAGCTTGCGATGTGGACGCGATATTACTCTGTTCCAGAGCATATGCATGACTGCCAGCCTTACTAACCAATAGAGTGAGCGCACCTCCGTTCTCCTCAATCAGCACTGCTCTAGCCAACTGTGTAAATGCCCACAATTAAAAAAAAACAAAAAAAACCGAGAGCGGGGGGGAGAGAGAGTGTGGGATTATGGCGTCTACAGGGTCAGATCGATAGTTAGGCAAATTAATACTAAAGAAAAACTTATGTAATATGAGATTTCTTCGGCTTCGAAATGACACCCACCAAACAAAAAAGGTAACGTTAATTTGCAAGAGCTGTGTCACAACACCAAGAGCTCCCTTATCAGTTCTGCTTTCAGTACTGGAGAATAAAAGATACATTCTTAGATGTTTGTATTAGTACATGAACGTTATCTTGGACATTTTATCTCCCCAACAGATTCTAATTTGAAAGAAGTTTATAATGCATGTTCGCTATTCCCAATTCAGAAGACCGCGCACACAGCCTGCATCTCTGAATGCTTCTCATACTCGCTCCTCTCTGCCACACACACGCAGCCTGTCTCGTAATGCTCGGTTATGGCCCTTTCTCACAGGACGCGACATGCCTAAAATAAAATCTATGGATTAAAAAAAGCACTTCATGCTTTTCACCATATTAATTAAAAAATTTAACCTAGATAAATGTGCGCTATTAGGCGCATATCTGATCGTTTGTGCCGAGAGTGGAAGCTGAAGCGCGCTTTGCTGAACATGGAGGCGCCAGCACGATCTCTCTCACTTTTTTTTTTTCTTAATAACACTGGTAACTAAAAAATGCACTGTCATTTTTGCTTATAAAGGTAAGAGTATACATCATTCGGAACTGCAATGGTCTACTTTTATTTGTGTGCACTCACAATATCAACAAAATTTAAAAAAAAAAAAACTTTTGTAAAAAAACAAACAAACAGGAAAACAAACGATGCGCATTTTGCGTCTCTGATCTCAAATAGGCAGAGTTTTCAAAACATTTACCGGGAGTTCTATTTGGATGCCCCGTTTCTATTGGTCGTGCGGGTAATCGTCACAGAGCACAGCGGCAAAAGTTGAACAATTTAGAACTTTGACCGCGGCGTGCGCGCAAGCTCACCCATGTGCGCTCCGCTGCATGTGTGCTTTGGTCAACGCAGCAACAAACCGTCCTTGCGCGGCGCAAGACATTGAAATTAATGGGTTTCATAGCGCTGCGCTTTCCGCGTCCTGTGTGAAAGCCGCTTGCAGCTCCGCACCGCAAGTCTCCACAAGCGCATCTGGCAGTATTGACGAGGCTTGACGCACGCGCGCAACCTGTGTCAACTCGCGCCTGGCTCCGCGTGTAAAACAAGTGTCGCTAATTGTCACTTGGATGAAATGAAACATTCAGCACATTTTCCACTTGTTTTTAAAATCCCAAATAATTATAAATATAAATAAATTAGCCTATGTAACCTATGTCATACTTTAATAATTGACTAAAGTAATACAGTTCTTTATTTACACAAAATAAACTAATCTTTCCTATGAAATTCTTATAATAATCGTGAATCGAATCGAATCGTGAAATCAAAATCGTGACTAGAATCGAATCGTGACTTGAGTGAATCGTTACATCCCTAGCTTTAATGTAAACTATAATGGTGTCTACTGGTATTTGATGGATTCTATTGGTGGGATGTAATCTGGCAGATGGGAAACAATAGAACAACAGTAATTCCTATTGGAATAATGCCCAAAACACACTACAAAAAAGGAATTTTGTAATTGTTTTAATGGAAACCATAGGAATTTCTGTGGTTTCTATTGTTTTTTTCAGCAGGGTAACGATACCCATACTGTGCTGCTCACTATTGACAATATTAAGTTGAAGCTTGACTTTGCAAAATTAAAATCGCAAATCAAATCGCAATATCTGTCAAAAAAATCGCAATTGAACTATTTTCCCCAAATCGCACAGCCCTACTCTCTACCACCAATACAGATTATTTCTGATGACATCAACACATCCGCTTCTCATCAAATTGTCTGTCCAATCTGAAGCGTCCTGCCCACTACACTAAAAAGACGCTGAATCTGTGGCTGAAATTGGTGAATGGTGTACTATATAGGGGATGAGGGGCGGTTCAGATAAATATGCTTTCTGTTGGAGAAAATGACGTCTGTTTTCATGTCAGTGGCACGTGAACCACCACAGCACACACACAAATCCACCGACAGGATCACATACAGTGGATGATATGCATGCGTCACACAGACCGTAAAATGTATGTATGCATGTATTTTTTTCTGTAGTTACAGTTTCATATTAAATCTAAAGGGGGGATCTTTTAAAACAACTGTCACTGTCACAATCTGTCAGATGCAGCTTTGTCACACTGTGGAGCTCTTTGATCCCACCCTGACTTATTGTTTCAATCAGAAATATGTCAAAGCATCGAGAAAAACTGCTCCTCAAATCACTTCACTAGAACTTTAATACAAAAACAATGTAAACACGCAGAATGCCACAATACCTTAATTACACCTAAGAGTACTTTACTAGCCAAAGTATCCCTATACCAAGTAGCATCGTGATAGCACCTTTAATATATTGTTATTATGAATATTGGAATATCATTACCAAAATAGTAGTTCTGAATGTATGTTAATTAATTCACATTCATACAGCATTGTAAGTTCCAGTTAAACCGGTCCTCATATTCACAACAAACCTGAAGGAAGAATTGCACCACCAAAAAATGTCATTTTAATTTTCAATTTGAAGTTATGTGTTCAATAACTAATGTGAGCCCATGGAAGAGCTGCTTGTGCGGTTTGCTGTTTTTTTTTTTTTATTGCTTAATGTACATTTGGTTTGCTGTTTAACATGCATTACGGAGCAGTTTGTGTTCTTCTAGTCCATCTGCTCTGATTGTTGGTCTGTGTACACATGCATCAGACGGATATCGTGTTTGCTGTTACGTCTGGTTTTGTTTACAGCATCTCAAGCCATGCGCTTCTCTTCATAAGGTGCTCACAAGTTGTCGGTTTCATTCTGTTGCGCTCTTGTGTTATCTGTAAATGGACCTAATGCAGCATTTGGCTCAAATAGTACATGATGGTACATGATGATGCTGATGATATTTACTACTGTGCATCATTGTACTACCATTTGGAAAATGCTGTGGCACTGCTGTTATTTTGAGGATCAGGGACGGCGATGAGACCGTAAACCCCGGTATACCAGTAACTAATAATTGAGTTTGTTAAAGGTGCACTTGACCACATTTCTTGCTTTTTGGTCTTTTGACTGGTCTTTATTATTTGTTAAACACACTGATCTGTATTTCATAGCATAGATAAGACCCAGCATGCCCTTGAACTGCTCCAAATCCTGTTTCATAAACAGTTCTTATCAGTGTAACTGGCTGATGTTAACTTTTGTTGTGTCCATATATAGAAAACAAGGCCTAATGAGCACTTACAGGTTGAATCCTCTCCCTGTCAATATCTGCAAAAAAAGGATTTCGACCAGAAAAGAAGTCAGATGACCTCCTCTCTCAAATTGATTTGAATTGATCCCGACTCTCTCTCTAACTCACAAACACAAAAATAGCATGAAATGTTGGTGTTTACATTTATTATTTATGTGAATACTTCAGTAGGTCAATAGGATTTAGTTTTGAACGTGACCAAAATAAAAAATTGTTACTACAGCATCACTAGAACATTTCCAAAGCAAAAGGCTGCATTTACACTGCACAGTGTACAATGCACAGATCCGATCTTTTGACCCACCTGTTTTCATTCGCTAGACACGACTAGGGCTGTGTTCAATGCATCGATACGACGATGTATCGACACATACTACTTGACGATACGGGTATCGATACTGCAACATGTGCGCAGCCGTTGGAAGCGCTTAATTTGAATACAAGAACAGCGTTTAAAACGGAGTGGAAAAGTGCAAGTTTTCTAAAAAAATAATGAATAGAGTATAATATATAGGCTACTGCAAGGTTTAGGCCCAATCCCAATTCTACCCCTTAGCCCTTCCCCTTTCCCCTACCCCTCCGTTTCGCGCGTTCACGTGAAGGGGTAGGGGTGTCTCAATTCTCTTTTGGTTGGAGGGGTAGGGGTAAGGGGAAGGGCCAGACAGCCCTTCAAACGAAGATTTTTCGGGACCACACTTCAAACGAAGGGGTATGAATTATCTCAGCGTAAACCCGCTTCAGGGGCAATATGGCTGCCCGAGCGAACAAAAAGACACATAAATTTAAGCATTTTTGGCATTAATAAAGATTTTAACGAAAAGTAATCATTTGTTTTATGTTACATTCAGTCCCCCCAATAATTAGAAATCGCTAAACCCTTTTCTCAAATATTGCCAATTCGAGAGAGAGAGAGAGAGAGAGAGAGAGAGAGAGAGATGAAAGTTGCGTGTATATGCGCGTCTGTGCGTTTCTTTTCCTTTTTAATTTTAATAGTAAACCTCTGTTGTGCAGCACTTTGTTTGCCTTCATCTGATTTCCAGAAAAATTAAGAACATTTTATAGGGCCCTACTATTGTTTAAAAAGGACCCTATACAAAAAAAAAGAATGGGTTTAAAATACAGGCATGTGGTTCTTAATTTCTTTTTATTAATTCACTATTTGTAAACTGATGTTTACTGTTAATTTTTTAGAAATATCAATAGCATTTGTATTAAAACTATATTCACTGAATGTAATAAAAATAAATCGAAATCGAATCGAATCGGGATATCTGAATCGATACCCAGCCCTACTTTATATGTGTAAAGCATATAAAGTGAATAAATCTGAATAAAAGCTGATTGAATTGGCAAAACCCAGCATCATAGGATCGTATATACTGGTTTATTGACTCTTTTTGAGTCGGAGTGACTGTCAGGCGTCTGAAAGTGAGTTTTGATTGAGTAACTTGTAGATCTGTGCTGCTTGAGCCACGAACTGTTTCAGACGCTTCAGTCCGATTTGGTGAACTGGTTCATTCAGTTCACTAAAAGAACCGGTTGAAAAGAATGATTCATTCAAACCGGACATCACTCTGAACCAGGCTCTGGATTACAGGTAATAATGTTGTAAGTAATGTCCAGTTTCTTGCACAGACCAATCGTTTCGCTTCATAATACCTCAATATGTCGTCAGGAGCCACAGGTATTAATTTTGTGTTGCCTGATATGATTTTTTTGACTCTCAAAGTGACGGTAGCCACTGACCTGCATTCTATGAATCACCAAGGACCACGGCTAAAAATCAGCTAAAAACTTCTTTACTGTTCTGTTGAAGAAGAAAAAAGTCGCCTACATCTTGGATGGCCTGAGGACGAGTAAATTAACAGCAAATTTCTGGGTGAACTATTTGTTGAAGTATCCATCGATGCAAATAGTAAGTCTTAGCGGCCTACATTTATCATGGCCAGGGTGAACATTTGTAGAATCCAGTTCTAGAAGATTTTTGGTGTTTTGTGAATAGTGTTTGCCATGCAGTAGTCACCACCACCCAGCAGGTGAATTTTAACCTAATTTAGACCTGTTATGTGTGAACTTTTACTTTAGGTCTTAAACTGAAAATGGTTGTGAATACCTGTGATGTGAAGTGTAGCTCTTGAATTAGTCTGTGTGATCATTCAGAGGCCGTATCATTGTTCAACGCTGGCTTCATAATGCTTAATCTCTCTGGTGGTATCAGTTGTTCTGTGGGTCTGGTGGGCGTTTTCTCCTCACGTTACTGTTGCTTCTCATGTGATGCATGAAATAAACTGGAGTGTGTGTAGTATTTTCCTCTTAGAGCGAGTGGACTGCGTTTCTCCAGAGCACTTCGCCTAACACAAGAACTGCCCGTCAAAGAAGAAGTACAATGAGAAATGTGTGGTTTCTCAGTCAGAGCGTTCTCTACGAGTGTCTTGTGAGTTACGGCTGTTTGATTTGGGAGCGATTGCTCAAGGATCTTCTGTTTGTTGATTGGAATTTCAGAGGAGGCGCTCGCTCACTCCCAGCACTCCAGCGACCTGCTGCAGTTCGCTCACATATGGCTGTAAAAGGGCAGAGTCTGAGACAGAGAGAACTTCCATCTGGTAGTTCTTAAAACCTCTGGAATGCTTTTGCTTTAGTAACACAACTAAACAAGCCATTCCTGCCAAGCCATGAAGCCCCTCCCCAACACACTCCGTCACACTCGTTTCCTCGCTGTGGAAAGAAAATCCAGGGAGTGCGAGTCGTCCTGCCATAGTGCTTTAAGTAGTGGAGAATCAAACTGCAAGAATTTCAATAAAAAGTAATTTAATGCTGAAACTGTCACCGCCGATTACTGGCAATGGTTTTTTGAATGTAAGCCATGAAGCCCCCCCCCAACACACCCCGTCACACTCGTTTCCTCCAGGGCTGTGGAAAATCCAGGGAGTGCGAGTCGTCCTGCCATAATGCTTTAAGTAGTGCAGAATTGAACTGCAAGAAATTCAATAAAAAGTCATTTAATGCCAAAACTGTCAAAGGCAATTACTGGCAATTATTTTAAAATATGCTTAATTCTGGATGCAAAAACTCTCTTGGACTTTCATCATGTACTTATTGGAGTTGTCTTCTCAAGGGTTCTTAAGATCTCTGGTCTGCTTTAGACATCTGATGTCACTGGTTAGGGCCCTCTGATTTCCAAAATGTGGAAAACGCTGATGAAGTCTAGTCATAAAAATGGAATTTACAGTATAACACGCTTTGTCATGGAATTCAGCCAATGTTTGCCAAAAAAAGTATAACACGCTTTTGCAGAGAATTCAGCCAATGTTTGCCAAAAAAAAAAAAAAAGGTTACATTTTCCATTATGCCTTCATTTCACTGTTTTTGATAATAAATTTGTATTAAATCTTAAATCCAGGAAAATAAAAAAACTCCTCAGGATTTCATGGGAAAAAAGTTTCATAGGGCCCTATTGTTGTTAAAAAAGCAATATAATAATAATAATAATAATAAATAAATAAATGAAATGGAATGCAGAAAATTTTTTATAGGAGCACAGAATTTGGGAGAAAACATTTTTTTATTTTATTATTTTTTTTTTTTAAATAAAACAGACTTCAAAGGGCCCTGTTTTTTTCTCCTAACATGTAATAAATTATGAAATTAATTAAATAAGATTTATGATTTTAATTAAGTAGACATTATTTTGATCACTTAACATTTAATTTAACCATTAAAATTTAATTTGGGGAAAAATAAAATGTATTTTATAGGGCCCTGTTTGTTGGATAGACTTTTTTCCCTCCCTGTGCAGAGTTTGAGGTCAGCTTGGAAAGTGTGATTTTATCAAAACTATTGAATATTGACAAAATTTCAGTAGTACTTGCACATGCAGAACTTTTATAATTTTTTTAATTAATACTATGTGGAACATGTCCTCTAGTAGCGAAACATGGGATCTTTAAAAACATCAGATACCCTGATATGATGGGAGTCTAATGAATGAACGTGCTCAGCCCTGTAAGCATTACATCATGGCCACTATAGGGGGAATCATTGCTGATTGCAAGCATTCAGAATAGAGAATAAATCAGATTAAGCCAGTTTGTTTTAAAAATATACATTAGATGTAGATATGTATGAATTATAATGTGCCCATTTTCTTTTAGACTTATTGAGACTTGCATGTGTGTCTGTTTCTAAGTCTCCATTGCATGTCTTTTTCCTGTTGAAATGACCCTGAGTCTGAGACGTCTTGTGATGATCCTGACCATTAATTCCCTCTTTCATAGACATCCGGCATCCTGAGGAGCTCTCCTTACTCCGCAAGCCCCGCGACCCCAAGAAGAAGAAGAAAAAGCTGGAGGAGGCAGAGGAGGAGGCACTGGAGCTGGAAGGACCACTGCTCACTCCTGGATCAGGTACGTCTCAGATCACCATCACCATGTGTCTGTGGACTGTAAATAAGTCCTCTGACAATGTTAATGCACTGGTCTCTCTGTCACGTCATTAAATACTCAAACTATCTATAAGGTCCACTTTAGGAAATGGTAGTTTTGATCAAACACCGAGTGAGCTGCCTACATAAGTCATGGAACATAATATGTCATTGGTTTTCAGTCCTAGTCCTGAGGTCCAGGTGCACTGCACATTTTCTGTCTCCCTTATTTAACACACCAGATTCAGATCATTATATTGTTTGGATACAGCTCCATGAACTGCACTATATGGAAGCCCGTTTCCGCCACTGAATAAAAAAAAAAAAAAAGGTTATTGCGACTTTTTATCTCACAATTCTGACTTTTTTTCTCGCAATTGCGAGTTATAAAGTCCAATTTTGAGGGGGGAAACAGACTGATATGTTCTCAGAATTGCGAGTTTATATCTCACAATTCTGAATTAATAACTCGCAAATGCGTGTTATAAAGTCAGAATTGCGAGATATAAACTCGCAATTCTGAGAAAAAAATTCAGAGTTTTGAGTTTATATCTCGCAATTCTGACTTTATAACTCGCAACAATTTAACAACAGTTTATTAAAATTGTAACCAAAGCTATTTTTAAAGCTCTATGAAATCTGTTTTATTTTTCTGGATTCTTTTCTCATCATTTAATTCAAGTTTAATAATCAAAAAGCATATCTAATTAATCAATTTAATAAAATGTTAACAATTTAAAATACATTTTTACAATAAAAGGACACTCTTTGTCAGGTTTTATGCCTTATTAAATCATGAATCCAATATTTCTGTCATAAATTCTGAGATTCAGTCCTTATTTTCAACATCGCTGATATCATATGGCACTTAAGATGTGCTAATGTAAAATGTCCAGTGCTCTGGGTCCCCTAAACCGGATTGAAAAAGTTATAAGTGCCCAAGCAACTCAACCCAATTGATTTTAATAGAGTTTGACAAAGTAATAGTACTCCTCTCTTCAACAAACTTGAGGCATCGTTCATGTCCGTCACCCAAATCATGCAGGTGGGGTTACACGCTGTTAGTTCGAATCGCAAACCCAAGTATGAGCAATACATAGTGATGGTTTACTTGCACAACTTTGATTGTCGTGCCACATCGCTTTGCTTGTTTGCAGAGTAGACTGTGTTTGATGGTTTGGAACCCATGAAGCTCCATAATGGTGCGCGTGTAGTTGAAGAGCAGGAAAACAAAAGGGTTGTTATGTTGAAACAGTGCTGAAATGAGAAATGTGTGGGTTGAGAGCAGCGTCTCATTTGCAGGCCTGCTGTTCTCGCTCAAACTTCGGAGCGTGAATGGTTCAGATTCCTCACATATTTGGTCACGCTGCCATTTTGAAACAGAGCAGCTACATTGCAGAGCACCCCACACATGATGCGCTAAAATCCATTTAAGATGCACAGAGGACAGACTCCCATCTCCTCAGGTCGACATGAATAGGGTCTGTTGTCCCAGGGCCCCTGTGCGATGCATCCCCCATGCAAACTCAACACGCAGGCCAAAACGCTTGTGTCTGGGATCTGTTCTCCACTTGTTCCTTCATTACGACTATTTAACCTCATGATGATCCTCATTAAAATAGTGCAGGACTCCCGATGTTTAGTGGCCATAAAGACTGCACAAAGGCTCTTTTAGGAAGGAGAAAATGTAACGGGAGCTGCCATGAGTCGTTTTGGTCCACAACGGGAAATGAGCCAAAGACCCGCCGCTTGATCTCTTCTCAGAAGGATTTAAGTATGAGTCGCCGTGATAACGACATGAGCAGGACATGAGCAGGACATGAGCTCCACCCATAAGTATTGTTGTTCCTATCCCTTCGTCTACGGATCTTCAAACAAAACAATCTGCTCTGGAAGTAGAGCTCTGTCCTCCTCTGTTCTGTATCTGGACTTTCATATGCACATTTATGCATTTAGCAGATGCTTTTATCCAAAACAGCTTACAGAAGAGGAACAAAAGCCATTTGTCAAAGAGCCTACAATATTTGTAAGATATAATGCCTTGTTTATTAGACAACTAGACTAGGAAGTAAACTAGAATAGAGGAGAAACACAGATAATTTATTATTATTATTATTTTATGTATGTATTTATTTATTTTGTAAGATATACACTAAAGGTACAAATACCATGCTCTTTAGACAGACTAGAAATGTTAGATCAGATATTAATCTAACATAAATTGAAAAATAACTAGTTTAAAAAAAAAAATTTACTGTCCAGTAGGCTTGCTGCGATAGACGGTTTTTTCGGTTATACCGGTGTTAAGCCGCAACACCGGTTACGTCATTTGCCTACCGCGGCACCGCCCCCCACCGTTGTTTAGATTTTTTTATAGTAACAAAAATAATTTAGCCTAGTTCAGTTAGAGGACAGATACTTTTAAAAACTAAACGCTCAATGCAGCGTGCCGAACCGTGCACGAACGGCAGTGCACCACGAAGCAGGAGTCAGATTTTATTTATCAGGTGAGGAGAGTGAGTCGAGCTGACTGACTAGAGTGAGGAGAGAAAGACAAGATGATGGCAGAAGATTGTTTAGAAAGGAAATGCAAAGGCGCCTGTTTGGCAATATTTTAGATTTTGAAAAGCCTATTGATTGGAAGTTTTTTTAATACATTCGTTTCTTATTTATTTGGTTCCACAGTGTTTGCTGATTACTTTATTTAAACTTTGTGTATTTTATTTATTTTATTTTACATCAAGGCGTATATGCCGTGCCTCCAATCTTTCTTCTTTGTT